TAATCCCAACGTCAAATCACAAAAGAATACTTATAAGCCTTCAAAATGTCTGTTTTCTGTTTATTGATGAGAATTTTATTGATGCAAAAATACACAAGTATGTTTTCCGATAAGAATCAATATGAGAATTAAGATTCAGCTCAATGAAAAGGGTTCATTATTCGAAATCAAAAGATAGTGTGAAACCTGGTTATATATGTGAGTCAAATGATGAAGATAAATAATTTATTCAATATGACACAAAGTTATATATCATCAGAGAGAAAAGGTACTGGAACAACTCCTACTGATGTTTGGAGCAATTATCTATTTGAAAAGCTTTGATGGAAAAGAATTATTTTGGTTTACGCAATCAACTCATTATATGGGAAATTAAAGAATGTATAGACACACACACACACCTTACACCTTCTCACTGAAATTGAGACAATTAAAATGCTTGATGCGTAAAAACGGGTTTAAAATTGTAAAATTATGATAAAAACTATACTTTTAATTAAAAAAAAAAAATAAATACTGTAAAAATGTTAAAAATAAAAATTATCACATAAAATAAAGGGTTAACATAATAAAAACTAATCCTGGACTTGGAAAAAAAATAATAATACATTGTATTTTTTTTGAGAGAAAATTCAAGGTTTTGTGAGTAATTGTTGTAATTGCAACATTATGGTATCCATTTTTTTTTCTAAATTTGAAATTTTTTCATTAAAATCATCATTATTGGTATCCATTTTCTTTTCTAAAATCTTGATTTTATCATTAACATCATCATCATTGAAATCATCCAATTTATTATAAATCTGCCACAAAGAACCAGCTTGATGGTCAAAATCCTTTTTTTCAAGAATGTATTGAATATAAGAATTTTCATTTTCATATTTTGCATATAAACAACCTCTTCTTGATTTGGTTCTTTCTTTCCATGAATCAAGATTATTATTATTATAACAAATGTATTTTGGATCAGGTTTAGAAGAATTTAAAAAATTATCTCCTAAATTCAAAACCTCATAGTCTGATATGAAAGTAGCTTGGAGCTGAGTAGTTCAAGTTTAGTTGTTTCTGATATTTTTTCATACACAATACTAAATAAGATATATTTATTTATATTAATATGAAAAAATAATATTATTAAACTTAATAAGATATAATTATTAATTACCTCACAAAAGTTATAAACATATTTTGTATAATGATTACAATTAACAAGCTTGCAATTAAAGATAAAATTTGAACTGCAAAATAACTGCCATAAGTATCCCTATTTATCCAGTTACCATTAATCCAAAAATATGCAGCTGGAATTGAACTAAAAAAATTTGAAAATGGATTATCAATTGATGATGTGCTGTCAAAATCTGCTTTAATTGTTATATCATTATACACTGTTTGATTGGTAGTTGTATTGACAATAGAATATGTATTCACACTTGGTGCTAATCCTATATCATCTGGATTTTGTAGCAATATATACCTATAATAATATATTATTGTTATATTATTTTAAAGAGAATGTTTTAAAATACAAATATACGACTTACATTACATGAGCAAATGCCAATATAACAAATAACAAAAATGGCCCAATAGTCACCAAAAGATTATCTGTGATTATAATATAAAATCCTATACCTACAAAAATTAAATTTTATATATATATATATATATACACAATGTACCTTCAAATAATCTAAGGTATAAAAGCTTTTTAAATAAACAACAAGTTTGGCTCATAGCACAAGTCTTGCAATGAAGATTACACGAAGTGCCAGGGCCTGGATTCTTACAAAATTTTAATCTATTTGAATGTTAATTAAGTATTAAATTTTATTATTATTGTTATTTTAT